ACCTTTTGACCTTCAATTTTAATGCCTTCATATTTGTTTGTTTATTTATATAGTTATTTTTGGCTTATTGTCCAGATAATCTCTGTTTTGAGGAAAATGGATTACTGAAATCACATACTATTTCTGAGTTGATCTGTGTTTTTATGTCCAATAGTACTGTTTCTGTCAAACTGGGTGTGCCAGAGTTTAGTGTATATATATGTAGAATTGTTATGTCTTATTGGTTTCTTGTCCCCTCGTTTAGAAAGAAGTTCTTTATATTTCTTCTGGTTGGTTATATTTTGAAGGTTATTTTGTTAGATATTATAATATCAAAACCCACTTGATTACTTTTCTCATCTGGTGGAAATACAATTTTTTTTAAATTTTTTCCCTTGTGGTGGTGCATATATTTACTGCTAAGTTGAGTTTCTTCTAAGAATAGAAAAATGGATTATGATTCTGAAATTATTCAACTAAGCTGTATTTTAAGAATGGAAACTTGGGACCAGCAATATTTACCATTATTTTTGAAAAGTGTGCATTGTACCAAAAGCTAGATTTCTGGGGAAGATTTTTTTTAACTTTAACAAACTTGGGATATTTGCCGGAATTATTAAGACCACACTCCACAGTGGGCTGTACTATATTGGATATTTACTACTATCTTGTGACCTACAATGATAAAAGAATTAAAATAAAAAGAAAAAAGAAAAGTGGGCATTATTCCAAATCATATTTTTTTTCTGCTTGTTCCTATTGCTGCTTTATGTTTTGGTGGTTATAACCATTTTTTTTTCTTACTATAGTCTTATGGCTTATTCCTCTCTTTAGTCTGAAGTATTCTCTGTAAGGATAGTTTAGTGGACATGAATCACTTTAGCCTATTTATATCATAGGGAATATCTGTGTCCTCAAATATGGCACATGCTTTTGAAGGGTATGGAGCTCTAGATTGACATACATGATCTGCGTGAAGATTTTTTTCCAGGTTCTTTTGGCTTTCAATGATTCCACTAGGAATTAGCTATTATCCCAATGGGTTTTCCTTTATATGTAACTTGTGTTCCTTTTTTTCCCACTTGCAGTTGTCAATACTATTTCTTTTTTCCATATAATTAATAATTTAACTATTATATTCTATGGGAAATTTCTTTTCTGGTCATGTCTAGTTTGTGTTCTCTGTACTTCTTATATCTGTATAAGTGTGCATTTCCTTAATTTGTGGAAGTTTTCCTCCATTATATAGTTGAATATCTATTTTATCCTATTGGCCTGGGATACATTCTCTTAATGTATTAATTAGAAGATACTATATTTAATGGTATCAAAAAGTTCTTTCATGTTACATGTGTGTGGGTGAGTGTGTGTGTGTGTGTGTGTGTGTGTGTGTGTGTGTGTGTGTGTGTGTGTAACTTTCTGTATTCTTGGTTTATGTGGTCTAATTACTTTACTTTATCTTCATATCCTAATATATTTTATGAAATTCATTTTACTTGTGAAGTTTTTTGGTTAGTTTATCAATTTGATTATTGAACTTTTTCTATTTTTTATTTAAATTAGAAACATGCTTGCTTTTCATGTCAATCCCAGTTCCCTCTCCCTCCCCTCCTCAAGTAACCCCCTATCTCATCCCCTTTCTTCTCCCAGGGAGGGTGAGACCTTCCATGGGGATCTTCAAAATCTGTCATATCATTTGTAATGGGGCTTAGCTACTCCCCCATGTGTCTAGGCTGAGAAAGTATCCCTCTATATGGAATGGGCTACTAAAGTACATTCATATGCTAAGGTAAATTCTAATCTACTACCAGAGGCCCCATAGATTGTCCAGGCCTCCTCACTGACACCCATGTTCTGAGGGTCTGTATCAGTCCTATGCTGGTTTCCCAGCTATCAGTCTGGGGTGCATAAGCTCCCCCTTGTTCAGGTCATCTGTTTCTGTGGGTTTCTCCAGACTGGACTTGACCACTTTGCTCATCACTCCTCCCTCTCAGTAACTGGATTCCAAGAGCTCAAAAGGCCACTAAACATTGTAAAAATATATAGCTGACTATAACACTGTTAAAAAAGGAAACATGATTTCCAGAGTTCAAATGCTTGAATTATCATTTATAGTCTTTTCTCTTCCCATTTTAAAACAAATGTGTTCCGTAAAGTATCTTTAGTACTGAAGTTAAAATTGTGACTGATAGCACACAGTACATAGTATAGAGGATTTAATATTAAAGCAGAATCTTCCAATTTTGTTACAATTAAGCTGTCAGCTTCTCTGTGAGGCTTAATGATTTCATTCATTTGACCAATGCTTTAATAGGAAGCTGCCTCAGAGTGTCTAATTTATCTGTGTATTTAGAAATCTTAACAAGACATAGACCATTTATTTTTTTTCCTGAAGAAATCAGTCAACACATGTCTTCTAGTTTGTGCAATTGTATTAACAAAGTCCTTGTTTGTCAGAATAGTCAGGTGCTTACTCTCTCTAAAAAGGCACATGTAACTCTGCTGTCACATGCAATGGCCTCTTCGCTGTCTTAACCTGAAGAACCAATGAACAATTTTATGTTCTTTTTCTTTCTAATATTACACATGGTTTGATTTGTTTTGCTTTTCTTTCTGTCTTTTTAGGGCTATGTGGTTCAAGTTCTAGTGTTCTTAATTTTTAAGCCATTCTCTTTCCTGTCTTTGTGACTCAGAATAATCTTTTTTCCATGTTTTTTATCAGATAGAGTATTAGCTGCAATAACAGGCATTTCTGTCTTTCTCTTGTCAACATCTATTTAGTGTGTCTACAACTATTCTGTCACTTGCCTGTGTGTGCTAACATTCAAAATCCTTTTACTTCTATGAAGCCACCAGACAAAGTAGTACGAGCAAGTAAGGAATGCTGAAAGTGAGAGAACTAATCTAATCCAGGGTTATCTAATGCCAAATGGCCAGCCATGAAAACAGACTGAGCAGGTTACATTTATTCCTTAAGGGATATATTTGTATGTACATATACATATATGCATTTACCAACAATTAATGAAAAAAATCCATGGATTTTAAAGAAAGTAAGAAGGAGTTTGGGGAGGGTTTAGAGGAGAAAGAAAGGATGTGATTGCATTATAATCTTAAAAGCAAAAGGCATTTATGAGTAATAATGAGGAATGTCCTCTTGCTGTCCTCCTTCTGTAAATAAAGCACTCTGTGGTGAAGATCAGTAAACATGTACTGCTGTGAATCACTGTCTCCAGCAATGTTGAATTTTCTACAGTCATTCCCTGATAATTAATATTGTTACTGATGTTATCATGATTTCAGTTATAATTAATTGGATATAGCCGTCCTTGACACAATATTCTTAGTAGCTATAAAAAGAAATGGAAGCATTCCTTGATCTAGAAACCAGGTGATAGAACCAAGAAGAGAAGGCCACAATTGTGGGTATCCTCACAAAACTATGAACAACTGAAACACAAAGACAATCTCCTAGAAATTCTTAATCAGTTCCAGAAAAAAAAAAAATGTTCTTAAATGAAAATTCCCCAGGGATAAGCCCTGAGGCACAAAACATAAAGGAACAGTCATCAACTTCATCAAAGAGTAAAGGAGTTTAAAGAAAAGAGGATACAGCTCAGTGCGGATTTGTATGTCACACTGCCAAGATCCTTGGCGGTTAAAATGAATGCTAGCCCCTTTCATTTTTCTAGACACATACATTAAACTAGAAACAAGAACAAAATTTGATTTGTATTTCAAGAATTTACATTGGTTCAGTCTTCAACATACCATTTACCTGGAAGAAGTATCACTAAATCCAACTTCCATGTTCTCTTAATTGTGAGAGATAGAGCTAAGTATTTGTCAGTGGCTTGGAGTCACACAAAAACTAAAGAATAGCCAGGTTTTTCAACATAAACAAAGTAACAGGAAAGATTAATTTTAAAAACTAGGAATTTATGTGAAATTGCCATAGCTTTTGGCCATGACATTAAGACAAAATTATAGTTTATTTAACTCTGATATAGATGATCGGTGACATCATACTTTCAATACAGCAAAGGTTTATTCTACTAATGTTACAAACACAATAAGCATTTAAAGACTTGAAACAGTGTAGGAAAGCAATTTAACACACTGCTATTTATGTTTGTAAGATTTTGTTCCACACAGACATGCAGTGCATATGCCATTTGATGATATATTTACTTTTAAATTCTAATAATATCAAAATACACTAAATTAAACATTACTTCTTTATTTGAAAAAAGTTTGGAAGAGACTAGAAAAAATTCTTATATCCTAACTATCTGTGATTATATCATATGAATAATAAAAAATTTCTAGAGAGAACTTAATTTTAGCATCTTTTATTTAACTCTAAAGCTTTGAGTATGTTGGGTATAAGTACAGTATTTGTTGCTTGTTATGTGGTACTATATAATTTTTAATTTGTTTTATGAAGCAAAAGTATATCAAATTTCTGATAATAGAAAACATTATAATTTTTCAAGTGAGCTTTTTAGCTAATAAAGGCAATCCTAGTCACCTTGGAAACTATGGCAGGAAGTTATAATTCAAAGTTTGTTTGGAATACAAATCAAGTCCAAGGAAATTCTGGGCAACATAAAACATCATATTAAAACAAAAAGAATACAGAAATTTTTATAACTCAGTAATCAGGCATCTTGGTTAGCATGTTTTCTGCCCATTCAAAATACCTGTTACCACAAGGGTAAGTGCTTCCAGGATTTATTGAATGTATCTTCCTTTCTCCTAGGAACTAGTAGTCAGCAGAAAGACATTGATGGGGGTTGTCCTTCTGTATTTATGTTTCTCTTACTGATTAATGAATAAAACTCTGTTGGCCACTAAGTCAGGAAGATAGGCAAGACTAGGAGAAGAGGAGAATTCTGGGAAGTATAGGCAGAGAGCAGTAGCCACGTAGCCCAACAAAAGAGTAGCAGGTCTGGACCCTTCTCTGGTGTGATAAGACCATGTGGGAATACTTGGATTAATAGAAATGGGTTAATAATTAAGATAGAACTAGCCAATAAAACGCCCTAGCCACAAACCAAAAACAGAAAAAAAGAAAAAAGACGGACCTTGGTGGCACACGCCTTTAATCCCAGCACTCGGGAGGCAGAGGCGGGCGGATCTCTGTGGGTTCCGGGCCAGCCTAGAGCGAGTTCCAGAACAGCCTCCAAAGTCACAGAGAAACCCTGTCTCAAAACAAACAAGCAAACAAACAAACAAGAAGCCCTAGCCACTTGCCAACAGTTTAATAATTAACATAAGTCTTTGTGTGTTCGTTTTGGGGGATCAAGGGTGGCAGGACCTGCCGGGCCTAGAACCTCTTACAACAAGACAGTGCCATGGAATTATTGTTCTTTGATCCCATGCATTCCTTTGCAATAACCACTTTCATTTGTTCATCACTAAGTCATGCAAGAGACTACATGTTAAAATAGCATTTGCCCACTGTGACCAGAGACTAATGCTAATAACCTGAAATAATTGATTCTGTCTTGATATAGCACCCCTGGGAATCCCTTCTTTCTTATGGTTATGCACAATAAACTTGACCATGGCAATTTAATTACTATATTATCTCCACTCAAAGTGATGAAGTTAACTAAAGGGTTTAGCAAATACATTTTGCTAGCGTTTTATATGGATCCCTTTAAAAACTTTTGTCTC